GCAGCCCTACTGTCCCACTTTAATTGCATTTGTTGGCCTTGATTTATCTCCCAATTTTTTTTCCAATTTCATATCCGCCTCCGAGCCTCTGGCTCCTAAAGGCCGGGCGATGTATCCTCGGATGTCGGTGGCCTCTGATACCCCATCCAGGTAGCTGTTAAAATAATAATAATCCTTGCATTTGATATAGCGCCTTATCACTTTGTTGAGGTGTCTCAAAGCGCTTCACAGAATATACTGTAAAGTGAATTGACTGTATATTTTGTGGGCTAAACACCCAAGCCAATTGTGCACGGCAGCGTCCCACAAACTGTTGTGGACTGAGTGACCAGCAAATACGATATCAGGACAGTCAATGAGGATAGACTATAAATGTTGGTCCTGTTTTCAATAGAACACAAGATAAGATGCGTTTTAGTAGATTTCTTCAAAATTCTGAAAAAGTTTCGAGAGGATAACTAGTGAATGATTACTCCCACTGGTTGGTAAATCAGTAATGGTGGGGGAGAAGGGTGGGGGGGGTGGTTGGGATTTGAGTGAGTGGCACGAGCACAGCCACCATGGGCCAAATGGTCTCCTGCTGTGCTGTCTAAGTTACGTTTTCTCACCAATATGAGGCTTAGCCATTGAGTTCACAAGCTAACTCCCATTCAGAGAAGAACTGCATCATCCACTGCACTCCAGTATCCTCTACTTATTCAGCAAACCTTAAGGGATCAGTGCCTAGATATAGTCTCCACTGAGCTCCAAAAGGGAAAGTTTGTTTGTCTTTGATGTTACAAAAGGAGCTGAGCCTATGTGTTGATGTCTCTCAGCTGTCCCAGTGCTTCATGTTTCAGTTCTGCCAGTGGGAAGGAGTCTGGAAGCAGACGTTTTTCACAGAGTTGTTCCCCCCCTGATGTGGCGTTGTGCTAGGGATCAGCCCGTTCTGTGTTAAATAGGCTGTTTTCAACTCCAGCCGGCAGTTCAACATGGTAGCAAGGGGTTGACAGTAGGTGTACACAAAAGGGACAATTCACTGGGGGACATTTCCCTTCTCTGAGGGCAAATCGGGGAAATGATTGCGTGGGACAATCAGTGTGCAAAAGGCTGAAATCTTACCCTCTGACTCACTGCTTGAATACACTGTGTTCAGGTGAGTGTTCCGTAGGACAGACTGTGTGAGTGCAAAACCTGACCACTGCCTGAACCCACAAAGTTGAGACTGTGCTGGAATCTGTTCATGATGTTCTGGGTGTATATGGTGCATGCGTTGCACAGTTCCGTTCCACCGTAAAGCCAAACCTGGCTAATGGTTTGGTTTGGTTCCCATTTGCTCATGCATCCTGTGTGACTGACTGCATCCAGTTCAGAGGACCCTGATTGAGTGACAGGTTGAAATATCAGTAACAGATATCCACAAGAAGGGCCATCAAAAGGAGCTGTGTTTTTACATGTGCAGTGAAAACACAATCGCAACAGTCTAAAAAAACAATTTCCCCCCAAAACAGTGTGAAATTCCTTGTAGTCTTGTGCTCTACTGAATCGCGGCTGTTGTGTCAATGAGACAGTGGCCTACCTCCCTCCCTCCCTCCCTCCATCCCTTGCCCACGCAGATGTACAACTCATTAGGCTGTTCATTGGGTCTCCTTGGCATTGCTCTAGGTCCAAACATTGTTCTCTGGAAATGTTCTGCCCTTTACTCACAAGCACTCGCTTTCGGGCTGAAGACAGGCACTGGTGTGCACAAACAAGCCTGGGGTTTGTGCCAGTGATTGCTTGAGGAGTGAGTGTCACAATGCTTCATGTTTCAGTCCTGCCGCACTGAATTGTAAATGACATCCTACTTTTTTGCATTCTGCTCACTTGCTGTGAGAATATTTTCCTCCTTTGTTTGTTGTTGGTTCACTGTGACGCACTTATGTGCCCATTCGGATTGAAGAACCCGAGTCTGCCAAACCCCCCTAACCCTGGCCCTTGTGTTACTAACTCGTCTGTCAACCTCACGTTCACCTCTTCTCTTGTTGAAGCTCGCTCAACATTATGCCATTTGGAGTATTCCTTCTGCAGTTGACTTTAACCGGGGAAGTGGCTTTGAGACCGAAGGTGCTGCATCAACTTTCAGTTCTGTAGCTAAAGCAATCCAGGTTAATGATTGCCTCAGCTGACAGTGGAGATGCCGTGCAGCTACCAGTGCAGTGAGACACATGTGCAACCGGCCGACCTGCCTGGGAACAGGAGATGTCCTGCTCTACCACAGACCAAATGGCCTCTGCCTTCATATCATATCCCTTAATATTTTAATATAGCTTCCGTTCAGCACTGTGTGACTCACCTCTGGCATTGTCAGCCACTAAAGGGACTCCACCCACTGTAGCTGTCCATCGACACAGACGCTACACGCGACATTGACCGAAACACTGAACACCAACATGGGAAGCCGTTCCTCTTTTCTCAGCAACAGCACCCCTCTGTTTTGATAGCCACAGAATAATAAAAGTGAGAGGAAATAAATAAATGAGTGGGAGAAAGTAGTAATTTCACCTAATTCATCAGTGGCCCAATATAAGAAAATTGTTTGTTCCCCAGTACGCTGTGATAAGTATTTTATTAAAAAAGGAACTAAAGGTCCTCACTAGTCCCTTAGTCCCAGCTTTTGAATCTCACTACAGGTTAAGAAAACACTTGATTTATATGCAATGTTAGAGGCGATTTGTCCTCTTCTCTATAGTCGTTTACCAGTTACAGCTGGGCTTTTAGAATCATGTTAAGTGTTCTGCTGAAGATCGCAAACTTGGTTTGAATGAAGACGGTCCTTCAGCCCATTAGATCTCAACCTTCCAGAATATCTACCTACCATCTTCCTATCACAGCATCAGGGTGTGTTTTTTTTAAAGAAAAGTCCATTTTTCTGCCTTCATCTTTCCTGTTAACCTATTCCAGTTGTTGATTATCGTCTGAGTAGAGATAGAGAAATACTTCCTGGTGTGAAATTGTCCTTTGCAGCCCTGAACCTGTGTCCTCTTGTTCTGCTGTATTGGTGCATCCAAAAATATTATTCTGAAGGTATGTTTACTTTCTCAATCCCATTTAACATTTTATATTCCTCTATAAAGTCCCCTGAGATATCATCTTTCAACACCGAAGAGTCGCAATTGTCTAATTGTTATACACAGTTCATTCCTATTAACAATGGGGTTCATCCTCATTGCTTTCTCTAGGACCTGGGGAGACATCTTTGGTCAAATCAAGCAGAACTGCATGATTATTCTATGTACAGCCTGACCAATGAACTCTACAGCTTGAGTATCTCCAAAGTTTCTTCGACAGTGGATGAGAAATTGTCCTCTTTTCTGATTGTGACATCTACTGAATACTCCGCAATAACATCTTATCTATTGATGTCTTCATGTTGCCACTCACCTACAAATTAGAAGAGAGAATGCGTGACTCTTCTCGTCTAATGTCGTCCATCCATAAGTTGCCATCTTTTGGGGCCTGAACCCCAAGATTTCCCAAACGATTTGTGACTAACAAATCACAGGAGTTAGTTGACCCTCTGCAACTCTGTTCCCTTACCAATCTTACTTCCATTGTCAGTGATGTAGGCGTTGAGTGGAGTTCCAGAGATTGGCTACAACATACCTAGGGATCACTACTTATAATCCTTCTACAAATGGTGGTCTTTGGGAAAGTTCAGATCTAGGGTTCCAACCCCAGGAATGGGGTGTGAGGAGCTTCATATTCGGGAATTGCTTGGGCTCATCATCGGTCTGAACCTAAACCTGGACTGAGAAATGTAAACTAATGATAGACCAATGTTGACTGAGACAAAGAGACAATGCCTGAGACTCTTCCTTTTCCTCTCTGTGTGGGTGTGAGCGGTGGGGGGGGGTGCGGTGGTTGTGGAGGTGGTTGGGGTTGTCATGGTAAGAACACGTTATCTCCTGGGAAAGGAGTGAAGACATTGCAAAAATGCAGCTCCTTTACCTGTCGATCAAATCATGGTCATTCTGTCCGTCCATAAAGTCTGAATATGCTGCTGAGCTCTATTCAAACTCTGTACAATTGACCTGTCGGTGGATGGTTGACTTCTACCGTATCTTTGAGAATTCAGCCTTTGTAACACATTCTCCTTTGCAGGTCAATAACTTTCAGTGTTTACATGGTAGAGCTGAGAAGCTCAGTCTATTTAGGTCCAGTGGATCTGTTTCGATCTGGTCCTTTCTTATCCATCAACCCTTTGCCTTCACCAGCCTATGAGATGGAGATGATCAGGCCCTCAGTGTCTCTGGGTACCTTGTAAATACTAAACACTACATCATGTAAATACTACACTAGTTCTGGGTGAGATTCCACCAAATGGTTTTTCCAAAGAGGTAACAGCACCTTGTAATCTTGCAATCCTGATCTGAGGGTGGTAAAAATAATAAGGTAGAACTAGTAACTAATGGGGTGTGACTAGCAATGAGTGTGAAGTAATTAATGGGGTGTGACAAGAGATTTCTAAAGTATTGGATATGGATTGCTCAGATGTGATGGAGGTTTCAGGACATAGGCATTAAGAACGGGGTGGGGTGGGGCTGTAAATGTTGAACTACATGTAAATGTGTGCTATACTTCACCTACCAGTGTAGAGTGAACTTTATTCCAATCCTAACCTGAACCTTGAAGACCAGTAGCTTATAGACAGTGTTGAACTCTCCTGATTAGGAAGCAGGGGAAATTCCATTCATGTTTAATTCCTGAAATTTGCGTGAATATCGCCTTTGATGGGCCTTTTAACACTGGACCTAAAGGAGACTGTCTTTCGAGCTTTCTGTACCATCACATGGGCATGTACCTTCACCCCCTGCTCCCTTACATTTATCATTCACACCACCACCCTAACCCCAGACCTATCTCATTTGGAACAGTTCAGTCCAGATCTGAGATGTACCTCTACATGTTGTATATTTGGAGTCTTTTCTGTCTTACCTCCCTCTCTCTCCGCCCTGTTCCTCTGACTTGGGTTTCTTCAGTGAAGGCCGGATGGTGGTGCTCTCCCTGGTTTTGGGCTTGACAGAACAAGATGACTTTGCAAATATCCCTGATCTACAGACCAGCAACAGCCAAGGCATGCAGTCAGACAAAAGGTACGAATCTGACTTGAAAGTGTGTGAATTAGGAGGAGATGCAAAGCAAAGCGAGCATGAGTAAGCCTTAGGAAAGGTAATAGTGAGCGAGTGACTGAGTATGCAGTGGAGTCTGTCCGCATTGTTGTACACAGTAATGTGGACTGTATTTGGGGCGGTGTGTGTGTGTTTGATGGGGCGGGGTGGAGGAATTATGTGTGTGTCTATGTGTGTCTGTATCTGCGTAGGGGATGTCTGTGTGTATGTATATGTGGTGTGAAGGTTATGTGTGTGTGGGTGTGTGTGGCTAGATGATTTGTCATTTGCCAACCTTCTGCATTTTATTTCTTAGGGCGGGAAATAGTGTCTGCAAACCAGCAGCAAACACCAGTAACTGGTTCATTCTTGTATCAGGCATAGAAGGATTGAATTAATAATAAGATTCATAATCCTTGCATTCGATATAGCACCTAATCACACAGTTCAGACGTCTCAAAGCGCTTTTCAGAATATATTGTAAAGTGGATTGACTGTGTTTTGTAGGTGAAATAAGGCAGCCAATCGCCCACTATCCCCCCACTGACCGCTGGCTCTAACCTCCGATTGACCGCTCATCTTTTTTTCCCCCGGGGATACTGGTCACTTTTCTCACCTGCTGACCGCTGCTCTTTGCACTCTGCTGACCTCTGCTCTCTCTCTCCCACCCCTCCCTATCCCCGCTCACTCCGCTGGTATCCCCTGTAACATGCTGTAACAATCTTCAGTTTAGAGCTTATTGTTACTGACTCGCTGATCGCTAGAAACCGTCTAGTTTCTCTTTCTCTTTCAAAATCATTGTGGCACTCGCAAAATAAAATCAATGTGAAGCTTTGTTGCCAAGAATTTTAGTGGTGGCCTCTGTGATTTCTTAATGAACAAATACTGTTATGAAACAGCGCAAGACTGACCCGACTTTATTGTTGTTTGCTGCCACCTCCCCACATGTCTGTTTGCAGTAACCTGACCTCTGCACTGCTGTGTACACACATTCTGTGAAATGAATTTACAATTCACAGCAGCCCGTGCAATTGTAGAGAGATCGTTCTGACTGCTCTCTACTTTGAACTCTCTCTGCACAACAGTTCAACAAGGCGGACGTGAGTTTCGCTTTGTCCTGTAAAAGTTGTGGAGTCCTGCAGCTCAGTGGTTAGAGCACTCGCCTCGCAAACCAGAGACCTGGGTTCGATTCCCAGCAGAGCGAAACCTTGGGCAAGTTTCCTTACTCCAGACACCTGATAATAATCCCTCAAGAAAAAAAGAATAATAAATTGGTCACTTCAATCCACGACGGTTTGTGGGACGCTGCTGTGCGCAATTGGTTGTCGCGTTTCGCCCACAAATATACAGTCAATTCACTTTACGGTATATTCTGTAAAGTGCTTTGAGACGTCAAGAAGACGTGAAAAAGCACTATATTAAATACAAGGATTATTACTATTGTTTTTAACAACATGCTATTTATGCTCTGCTTCCCAGTTTGCAGATAATAATTGTACATTTTAATAAAACCTGTGAAATGGCCATATACCCCACCATCACCCCGCCCTCATCTGCCCACTCCCCCCGCCCCCATCTGCCCACTCCCCCACCGCAGGTCAGGGATCAGATTTGTGTTTCCACTTGTCGATCTGACTGTAACTCACAACCAGTTTTATAGCTTCCAAGCCAGTGAGTAATTGGCTGACTGACTGGTGCAGATAAAACTTCAATTGCACAGAGAGGAAATAAATGCTTGCGATTTCTCCACCTTTAACCAACGCGGCAGAACTTATCTACCAATTTGCTTTGCTGCATTATTCAAAGACCTGGGCTGGTTTGCTATGTAGAATTACAAAGTTTACAGCACATAAGGGGCCAATTGGCCCATCATGTCTGTGCTGGTGCTCGTTTCACCCTTTTCAGCTCTCTATTGCCATTCTCCCGCTCTTTCCCCAAATTTATCTGTGCTGATGCTCAATTTCCCCCCTTGGAGGTCTCTACTCTAATCCCATTCCCCTGCTCTATCCCTGATTGTTTCTGTGCTGGTATTCGCTCCACACTGGAGCTCTCTAATTCTACTTTAACCCTATTCCCTTCTGTTTCCCTATTGTGTGTTTGCGCCTCATAGTAAGATTAGATTAACTCTCATAGCCTAAGATTAGGCACCAAAACAGAACCAAGTATTCCAGATGGTGTGTCATCAACACCCTGTACAATAGGGATAATATGTGACGATTTCAAATGAGAATCTTATTAACGAATCAGTGCTTGCAAGGTCCACGTAGGGGAGGTGACCATCTTCACTGTGATGTACAAGAAGATCCTGAGCGAAAGACAGAGTCATTTCCCAGTGGGTGATGAGACGTATAATCAAACAGGGATTCTCCAAAGGATATTTAGCCATACCTCCAAGCAGCAGCCTAATCATCATTGGCTATAGCTTGCAACCATCTTCCCCTCTCCACAGCAGAAAGGAGTTGAGAAGCGGCTTGTTCTGAGTTCTCTCCTCCCTGTCCATACGTATTCTTTTTATGTGATTTTTGCTTAAACTGTTTCTCAGCTAAAAGCTCATCGAGCCTCCCGGGCTTCAGCCTACTCCAACGCCCTCAGCCTACTCCAACGCCCTCAGCCTACTCCAACGCCCTCCTCGCCGGTCTCCCATCCACTACCATCCATAAAATCCAACTCATTCAGAACTGCTGCCCGCATTCTCACCCGCACGAAACTCCGCTCCCCGATCACCCCAGTCCTTGCCAGACTGCATTGGTTGCCTATCCCAGAGAGGATCAACTTCAAGATCCTCACCCTTGTATTCAAATCCCTGCACTCCTCTGCAACCCCCTACCTCTCTGACCTCTCTCCTCAAAACAGCACCTGTTGCCTTCGTTCCTCCGGGTCTGGCCTCCTCCTTGTCCCCCGAGTCCTCCGCTCCACCCTCGGTGGCCGTGCCTTCAGCCACTATGCCCCGAGGCTCTGGAACTGCCTTTCTCACTCCCTTCGCCTCGCTCCCTCCCTTCCCATCTTCAGGTCTCTGCTGAAGACCTTTCTTTTCAACCGCGCCTTTGGTCACCTTCCTCCCCTTCCCCCCTCCGCCTGGCTCGGTTCCAGGATCCAAGATTGTAAAGTGCTCTGAGACGCCATCCGGCGTGAAGGGCGCTATATAAATCCAAGTTGTTGTTGTCACATCAATTCTCCTGATTAACTGCTTTACTCACCATCATCAGTATTTATACACTAAGTATTTCTAACTCAAGGAAGCAAAAACCACTAATGTTTTGATCGGGACGAATAAAAAACGTGATATGTAATAACAATAATCCTTGCATTTGATATAGCGCCTTATCACGTCGTTGAAACGTCTCAAAGGGCTTCGCAGGATACGCTGTAAAGTGGATTGACTGTGCATTTTGTGGGTGAAACACGGCAGCCAATTGCGCACAGCAGTGTCCCACCAACAGTCATGGATTGAGTGACCAATTTATTTTGTTGTAGTGGCCGGCAGCAGCTCCCTCAGCGTTTGACATTCAAGGTGTATCGTCAAAGGCGCTGAAAGAAATTGACTCATCTGTTCCTAACGCCATGAGATTTTTTTGTATTGCTCTTGTTACAGAGAGGGGCTCCTCAAGGCTTGTCAGCGTAGTGGCTTTAATAGGAAGCGATGCATGTAGCAAGAGGTGTAGTAGCGCGGCGTGGTTAGGGCAACTTCAGGAGCCGTTGATGGTATTACATAGAATAAAGTGACCTCCGTGTCTACATATTAGAATTGTTCTGGTTATGATTTTCATTCTGGAAATGACTCCCCCGAGGCTCCAGGCAGCCCGTGTTAACTCATCAAGCACAATGGAGTTTACATTGCAAGTACAATAATGTTCCTCACGGGAATCCTTAAGTTAGGAATCCTAGTGGGAACTCCTTACAGTAAACCGAAATCCATTGCCCTGAACAATGAAAACTCAGCTCCGAAAGTGGATTGGGCATGAGCAGACATCTCACCATAGTAATAATCCTTGCAATTGATAGAGCGGCCCATCACGTCATTGAGACGTCTCAAAGCGCTTCACAGGGTATGTCGTAAAGTGGATTGACTGTATTTTGTGGATGAAATGTTCTGTGCCTCTAAAGTGAGTGTGTAATAGGTAAAGCTGTACAGCCAGGCCAGCAACTGATTGCGCACAGCAGTGTCCCACAACAGTTGTGGATTGAGTGACCAATGTTTTTTTGGAGGGATTATTACGCCCAGGAAAGCGATGAGGTTTTTCTGTGCCCATAAAGTGAGTGTGTAGTAGATAAAGCTGTAGAGGATGTCCGCAAAGTCCTGTTCTTCTTCCGCTCCTTACAGTGTACTAACCAACAACCGAAATGTAGAAGAATGATGAAATTGTATCTCGAAGTACTGTACTTAATTGTATTCAGCACAGGGGGTAACATGACTTTGTGGACTTCCTGTATACCGGAGAGCAGGATTAATAATAATAATCCTCGCATTTGATGGAGCGCCTTATCACATGGTTGAGACGTCTCAAAGTGCTTCACGGAATATACTGTAAAGTGAATTGACTGGATACAGGCAGCAGGGAGATTGGAGTCTAGCTCAACAGGTGGAGGGACGGAGTGGAAGTAGGGAGCCCTCTTGGGATGAGGACACTTGTTGTGAGACTTGGACAGAACCATAGAAATGACACAGCAGGAGGCCATTCAACCCATTCTGGTAGTGTGAGTGTTAGCGCTTGTTCCACCAGTAAACCATTATCTCAATTTTGTTGTTCTTTTGCCCCAAAGCCTCTTGATATCCTTTCTCCCCAAGTGTTCATCCAACTCTCTTGTTGACTCTAATGCAATAGCCAACCCCTGGCAATTTGTCCCATCATCTGAGACCCTCCAGCTCCTAATTACAATCTTAGATACACATCCCCTTGTCCTTGAATGAAGAACAAGATCCTAGTCTTTATCCTCTCATTGACTTGGATACCACCCTCAGTCTTCCCTTCCCCCTATGAGAGAGA